ATCCACTATCATCTATAATGGTAAAATTATAGTATAAAAAAAGTCACAATCCAAGAATAAAATAATTTTTCTTTTTTATAAAAAGTTAATTTTAATATAAAAATGTTTTACTATAAAACTCTATTTTGTTGCCTCGGGCGATAAATTCCTAAATACGGCACTAAAAATACGTGTCGAATTATAGCCACATCTTTGAAATTATTTGCGTGTAAGTTGTCGTGTTCGTTTTTGATTTTAGTTTTATTTCGATCCTGGTTTCATTTCACCACCTTCGTCGTGATTTTTCAAGAGTRCGTCTGTGCGTGTGTAATTGTGTTTGAGTGTGTCAGTGAAAAGTTTGCGGCACGTGTATATGGTTATCGATGGTGGTCGTACTAGGGYGAGRGGRGCTGGTGGCGTTAGGATAATAATATCTGGTCGCGCTAATGAAAGCTATTAAAATGCGAGCAAGCTCTTTTTCGTTTTCTCTTTTGCTCGTACTTATTTCGGTTTACCACCCCCCCCCTCACACGCAGCGCTTGCGGCTCTTCGACCCACCCCACCAAGGGTTCGCCACACCGCACCCCCGCCCAATTTTTTCCTTTTTTACTCCCAAGTAACACCCACCCATTCGAAAGGCAGCGCGCGCGCACGTTCAGCCACGTCCCCTCGATTCTCCGTTTCTTTCATTTTTCCTTATTTTATTTTCGTTTGTCCCAAACCTCGCCGCGCCCTTTTTCTTCACGCGCTTGAGCAAGACTTATTTCTTCCCCCGCACTACCATCCAAACTATTCGACTCGCGCAMACCAGCCTGCACCGATATACGATATACCTGGCCGCCGACGCTGCAGCCGCTAATCACCATTCGATAACACGACTATATCATTATACGATTTTCGGTCGGTAGTCCACAATATTTATCGATAGTCTATAACTTGTATAGTGAAACACAACAGCGAATTATTAAAAAGTTAAYTTTTCGTTAAGATCTCCTCACCCAACCATCTAGTTGACTTTTGAATAGTTGCGGATGTATTATATTGTTTTGCAACAGATGATTGGGAAGAGGAGACCTGCTTGGGTGATCTTAGATGAAAATTTAACATTTATACAATCCACCCGGCCATCTATATTACCTATATATATATATATATAAATAAATATTTAAATCATATTACATATTTAATTTACATAATTAATCAATGCCTATATTATGGTCTGTACATGCATTTTGAACGTTTATCGTCAACATGCACGTTCAATGATGAGGGTACGATCTACGTAACAAAATAGTTTGCGGTCGAATTAGTGCGATGATCGGTAATATGGTAGAGCAATACATTTTAAGACACGCTAAGAAAACTATAAAATATGTAAACGAAATTTTATATTTTCACCGTAGCGATCATTCGTACTTTTGAAATTTCGATACATTCTATTTTATATACCTATCCGTACTGCGTTGATGATAGTAACCAATAACCAAGTATAAACATGCAAATACGCCGAAAGTTTAACCTTAGCCACAAATATATTATCATAGGTAGACAATATTTTGGAGAGTTCAGAGTAATTTTATAAGTGGTTCTATATAATTAACAGAAAGTAGATCTCCGGCCATATAATATATGTTTTTAATTACTTAGTCGAAGATTCCACTGAGAATTTTATATATTATTGTAATATTTAATGCTTACTTAACATATAACACACTGGACACAGTATTGTATACGAATTTAATTCGTATTTCTTATTGTATTCGTTTTAAATGAATGRCAGATTATGTATTAGTATTATACAATGTACCTACCTATTTTCTAAACGAATAAAATAATACGAATCCGGCAACTCCCCGCGGTAAGTAGAAATTACATTCTCAAGACGTTAATATTATATTATTTCATTGGCATAAATGATAATAATATAGTATATAAAGCAAATATTATTATATTACGCTATATTATTCTAAATTATCACGACGTTTGATTGCGATACATCAACGTTGCACATATCATTTAAATTGACGATGATTATACTACGTACCTATACAACTTTCTCGTTAGTAACTATAACTATATAGGTGTATCTTCTTAAATTCGATTTGACACGCAGTAACCGATAATGACGGACATTTGCGTTTTTTTTTCTTGAAGTAACTTCATAATAAACATTATTTTTATTTCTATAATTTAAATTTATCATTAATTCGTATAATATAACCACCGTGGTGCTGTGACTGACGTTTGGAATTCTTATACATCCTAATTTTATTTAAATAATAGATACCTACGCATTTTTAAATGTGGTCGAATATGCTAAAATGTTAGCATTGAAACACTGGGAATCGTAAATCCAGGCGGTGCRTCTCRTTGAACTCTCTCAAAAACATTCAATACAAAACAGAAAAACGTACAGATGTTCATCTTTGGAAAAACAGGGATTTAGTGTTAATATGTAAATTAGTGATATTTTAAATAATATTGAACTCGTCGTGTAAACAATGTCATTACGTGTTTAAAACTGGTTTCAGAACAATGAGTAAGTAGTCTAGGTTAACCTTACTCAAAGTTTGATATTTGTTTCTACTAACTTCAGTGACACGGAATAAATTAAATTAAATTAAACATATTACTGATCAMCAATGGTTTTTGAATTTCCAAAATTTACCACGTTTAAAATACATCATAAAAAAACGAATCAATGTACAAATTAAATGTTTTAAACTATTCGAAATTAATTAAAAACTTCAAGTATAATATTTTATAGCGCCATGTACGATTAACCAAACAACGAGAACAACCGATTTTTAATAAACATTTATCATTCATATAATTTTCATAATAGGTTAATGTCCACAATTGCTATATAGAAACCTAAAATAGTCACATTTAAAAATGGATTTTAAAAAACTTTATACATATATACGATAAACAAGTAAGACATAAGTACTTAAAATCATAAAATCAACAGATAAACAGTATTTATCGATATATTTTACGGAAAAAATAAAAATAAACGATCAATGATTTGTCAGCTAACCAATTTATATATATTTTACATTGTGTCTCGTACATTAGAAACGAGCTATTGATTTAGCATATTTAATAATGTACAAATACTAGAGTTTTAAAGTGGATTTGAAATATTAATAGTTCGGTTATTATTGAAAATATGTGAAAATAGTATAAAATATTAAAATAAAAAATTATTGTTTTATTTAAAAAATTAAAAAGTTGTWTAAAGTTATATGAATATTGTAAAATTTAGATAGATCAAACGTGGCATTATTAGTACTGTAATTATTTCAATTAATAAGAACCGATAATATTATACTGGGGGAAAATCGTAACTATTATATTATTACTATTTCGCAAAAATGCATACTATAATATCATACCTACCTACAAATATTTTATTATTACATAAACTGCGCGTAGCGTTTGTTTTGTCGGTTAAGCTCATCAATGTATCAAATCTAAATTTTTAAATCACATTATATATTTTTATTTGTTCCAGTGATAATATTAAAAAGCGGTGGCAGTATACTAAATTATGTTAAATATAGGTATAGAAAACCCGTACTACGTCTGTCCCACTAGGACGATCAATTTCCGATTAATATTGTAAATTGTAATAAAAAGGCTACGCAAACACACATTTCAAATATTACCACGGAAATGCCTTTTTTTTTGGCGGGAAGTTCCCGACGTGCTTTACTTTTACATCAACCCGCGTGTGCTATACTCTGTACGTCTATATAGGTACACAACATAATATTATTTAATATTTATTTCGCTGCACACATAACATCAGTTTGTTATTCGGTTTTTTATTTCGAGTTATTATTATTGTTGTTGTTCATATTTGTTTTAATATTTATTGTTGCGATAAACCAACTGCTGTAATATTCGAATTCGATAAATTATCATTATCAATCACAAATCTCAAAGTGTATATACTTATTCATCATATTATAATACAATATCAAAATAATAATAATAACAAATTACAATATATTATAGTAGGAATAAGGTATATCGTAATGACGGGGGGTTTTTTTTTTTAAATTGATACACTTCTTATTTACGCGTATGAGTGGAAATGATGTACCTACTTAATTAGATTTTAATTACGATTTAAGTAAATACACTCGTTGGTCTTGTTTACGGGTAAATAAGATAATGTGTGTTGTTCGTTAAATAATATTATTGGTTCACATAAAATATTTCGTGTTTCAATCCCTAAATAATACAACGCGTAGGTGAATATCTGTATATGTATAAAATAACGTGATTATATTTAGGTACCTACTACGTGTTTCGTAAAACGTTTATGTGGTGTTTTTATAACGATTAAATCAAAAATATTGGTGTTGTATAAGTGACCCAAAACGGCCAAAACGATTGGGTAAGATGAAAAAAATCGCAAAAGCCACAATCATAATAATATATTATGTTAAGTCGGCTATGATGAAACAAAAAAAAAGCAGGCGTCCGTCGATCCCGTTTTCGAGTGAAATCAAAATACTAAACTATAACGACATCAAAATTAGATCTTACCCCGTTCTGAGATACGTCGATCACTTCCAAATCTGGTCGTCGGTCGATCATTTTGGACCGACGTGTCGTCTAGGTCGATGTGGGGGGAGCAGACGTGATGACGGTGAATATTTCAAAACTGTTTTAGCGGGACGTCTCGTCGTCGTCGCGGCGGGAAACGAAAAACCGAAAACGAATCGGTCTCAAACGGTCAACCAGCCGACCGCCGGCAAATCGAGTATTGTCCGCGTGACATTGTCGTCGGCGGAATTGCGTACGGTGTTGCACCCTTTAGCCACTCTCATACACACTCACACACACATAAACTCGCGATTTGCAAAATATTTTTGTTTCGCGTCGTAACAGTGACGACAATATCCAAAACGGTTTGAAGATGACGACAATAATAATATAATAATAATTATTGATGAAGATAATGATAATAATACTAATAATAATAAAACTTATTAATGATAATAGGTGTATATACGGGATGTGAGAAAGTAACGAGGAGAAGTGAAGAATGAACGCGACGCGTGTACGAGCGAACAGTGAAACACCTCCGTCCGTGGAAGACGCACGTTAGCGTGTGCCGAGGGCAGCGGCATGTGATGGTTTTAACATAACTAGTTGTATGCGTGTGCGTGTGCCGACCGACAGACCGACCGACCGAGCGAGCGTGAGCGTGTGCGTGTGTGTGCGCGCGTGTATTTGCATGCGACCGCCCTCCTCCTCCTCCACAACCTCATTCTCGTGCAACTCGTCATTCACCGCCACCGCCGCATCGCTAACCCGCCCCCGCTGGTTCCCCGTCGCCCTTCACACGTCACNGCGGTCGTCTCAGCACTATACGGCGGCATCCCCGTGCGCGCTCCGAAACGTCTTGAAGGGTTGGCTACTTCGCTGACCCGCCGTTAGCTTTACTATACGCGCGTGAACACGACAACAACAACAATAATAATAATAATAATAATAATAATAATAACAAACGATAGAAAACGATAAAAGCGCACTCGGTCGGTCCGCCCGCACTCGTCGCGGCGCGTTTTTATCGTAATATTTCGTGGCGGTGCACGGCGTCCGTCTGTCCTGTGACACGGTGTCGCGCCGGACAGTGCAACTCGCGCCCACCGGTGACCGTCGTGATTTCGCGCTCAGAACGCGAGCTGCATGCGCCTCACCGTGTTGATTGAACCRACCGCGCGTCGTTCATTGAGCGCATCAGCGCACCGCCGCCTTAAACAAAAAAAATGTGTCGCATCCGCATGTTCGGCAAACCCCGCAGCAGATAGAGGCATAATAATTGCATAATTGCATCATGACTGCTGGCCGCTTCGTAACTATATTTTCAGCAACTATTATAATGTCATTACACCGCCGCATTTTATCGTAATTATAAAATATTTTGGTAAGCCGTTCACTAACCACCAATTACCATGCAATATTTTCCAAATTTAGGCCGATCTGTATAACTCAAGGACACCGTAGACGACCGCGACGCATAACAGTCAACCCCATTGACTTTAAGCATAATAAATATTATTCATCGCAAAGATCGCAGTGACCCACACGTCCAAAGGTGTTATGATTTGAGTTTAGACTGTTTGCTATATAGATCCGCGAAAAATATATATCTAAACTAATAATCAATAATATTGCGGTTCACATGTGTAACAAATCAACGTCTACCATCCGTTGTGTTGCTAAGAATCACTAACGCAAATGTATTCATACGTCATAATTTATAGTTTATAATATCATCGTTACCCGCGAAGACACCGACAATTTCGATTTTTAAATAAAAATATTTGTACTTTGGCACATATTTCATTGTAAATTGCGTTCGTTCTCTCATTAATATTACATACCTAAAAATGTTTTACGGAATTAATAAAAAAAAATATCATTAATAATATAAGTATATAGGTATAAATTAAATTAATATAAATATTAATAATAATATAATAATATTATAATATCATATTAATAAAATAAATCTAATATGTCCAGTTGAACAGTTTAATTCACATTGTTGTTCATAATATTATTTAAGTGCGATGGTTAAAATACCACCATAACATAGGCAATATGTTATTCTTTTACAAAATATAGTAATATTATTCAAATGGACTGCTATGGACCTATGGTTGACCAGTAAAAATGTGCAGTCGATGTAAAGATAGCAACAGACATGAAAAATATAAGTACGCAGAAAATAGGAAATCTACTGATGTGAACGAAAACCTTCACACTTCATAAAGCAAAAAAAATTTAATTAAAATGGTTTTTAAATGTGGTGTAAAAATAACTACAAATTTATGTAAGAATACATTTATTTATTTTTTTTTTTTTTTTATGATAAACAACAATTTCCCGAGAAAATGAGTAATATTTTTGTTAAAACCATTCTATATAATATACACTATTATAGTATTATAAGACTTTAGTAAACATAATACACAATGTAGTTTTAAAACTGTATACAGAGTGATAATTTCGAACTCAAATCTACTCAAACAATCATGGCTTAAGGGGTAAGTATATAAATTTAAAGGTGTATTAATATGTTCGTATGGTTTCACAACATTCAACAGACAATAACAATAAAACCTAATAATATAAATACAATTCATAATATAAAATAAATATAAGAATTACTGATTTGATTGGATATTCATTCCCTTCGGTAAGTAACTTTCGTCACTTGAACACTTGCGAGAGGTAAGAGCGTGATTATAAGAACGAGGGAATATTGGTTGAGTCGTATTATTATTATTAATAATAATAAATAATACATTTATAACAATTAAAATTTGCTAATTATATATAATTAGTACTAAATACTATTGCCTATTTATTATTATTTTTTACTATTTAACAGCTGCAAAAACGAAAATTAATTACGGTCTGGAGGTCTAGACTATACCTAATAAAATTACTTTTTTTAACTATATTTTTTTATATTTTTTTATTGGTTTATTATTTAAGTGCTATTAAAGACAATAAGGATTAAGGAACTTTCTTAAGTTTTTTTTTAGTAAATGTTTAATGTTTTGTTTTTATCAATTATATTTTATACTGCACTATGGATTATTTTTTAACATATACCCAATATCTTATAAAATATATAATAACTTGTATAGTCGCTAATGAATAGTTTGTTATAAATAATTATATTATATTATTATAATCTATTCATTGTTTTAGAGTTTTAGAATACCTATACTGTTATGTACGTAGAAGAAATTGGTAACTTTGGAGTTGATATATATTTTCCAATATAATATTAAATATGTACACAGATCGTTTGATTACTATAATATAATATTTCATATACCGTTGAAACTATTTCAATATGAATAATGCATTGCATTTATTATATTCCTGCTCATAGATCTTGTACTATATTCTTAAACTATTAATTTCAGATACTAAATCTCAGATATTTCATTTGTAACGTTAATCGTAACTTGGGTTCTGCAATTTCCGGGAACGCAACTTACCGGGAATTCACGAGAATTTTAGGGGATATATAGCCTAGAACATCAAACAGTTCATGAGAAACAATTAGTATTTATTGATCATTATGTTGATCACACAGCGTATTTCAATAAATCAGATATTCAAAAAGTTTAATAAAATACAATGGGCACAAAATTAAATCATAAGTGAAAACAAATTAAATTGAAATTGTCAATCGAAAATAAAAAAAATTATGATTATACATTATATTGTGTTATGTCTTATCTTGTGTTTGTGTCCAGTGCATTTTCATTGGACTGTTATATCGTACAATTATTTAAGATCAAAAACAATGAAATTTAGTAACGTTAAATCAACTATGATTTGATGCACCTACGTGAAAGTATACTACCCTACACTTTCAAATTATAATGCATAAGGTTTTAATTACCAACTACCTTTCCATTTAAAATATCTTTTTTTTTTTKATTTTGATATTATCAATGTAAAACACTAACAAAATCTTTATGTTGAACATTTATATTCCAAATCCTTGTTAGTGGGGAAACTTCACAGAAAGAGTCCGTTTTGTGGGCTTACAAGCACAATGAATCTTATTAAGGTTCTTAGTTCTTAGTTTTCTTACTTATATCAAAATATGCAGTGATGCTGTTGAACGCAATCTTAGACAAATGGAAAATGTAGATTATGTGTAACTTTTTGATTTGAATAAAAAATATATTAAGTTAAAACCTTGTCATCTTGTCAACCATTCGAAATGAATTAATAAACTAGTTAATACTCGTATTAATAACTACGTGACACGTCTTGTCACAAGTGGTAATACCTCAGAATAATAGGTATAGTTATTCTATATTTAGCGGTTACAAAGTGATGCATCATTTATTAATCCCATCATAAAAATTAAATATATAACACCCAAGATACATGTATATTAAATAATGATAGTTAATTATATAATATTGGAACGACTCACACTAATTCATCAATCGACTAATATTTATTTAGTGACGAACGTCGGACACCGTTGCTCTATCAAAATCAAGTATTTTTTTATATATATTTTAATTTAACTTAAAAATATAAAGTTCATAATATTAGAAAAAATCCACCTAAAACTATATAGGTTTTAATGTTTATGTTCCTGTAACCCTCTGGGAATTTTTGGCAGCGCCAACCCTAGCCACATTATACGTAACAAGGGTAATAAAAATGGGTTGAAATTTAATCCCGTACCTAGGTACTTATTATGTCTCCATACCTAGAGTTTTACAATTTTTATTGTTTATAACAACATACCTACACATTACACATACTATTTATAGTAGGTAGCGAAGTACTAGTATATCATGTCCGTACGTATGTAGGTATTATAATATTATAAAATATCTACCTGTACCTACATTAAAATCGATCGATTTCGATGAATCAAATATAAAAAAATATGTAACTACCTATATGTATAAAATCTTAATATGATAATATACAGGTAGAGGCATATTGAACATGTTTGCATATAATATAGGTAATCTACATGTGTACATACAATATTATACATGCGATGGACAAAATATTACTATAATCACATACTGCAGAGTACAAAGCATAAATGAATTGGTATAATCATGTGTTTTTCATAATATGCATATTTATTCGATTACCCAACGATTTGTACGACGAAACGAGAACGTCAAACAAAAAATATGGACTAATATTTTATTATACTCTTGAACAATAATTGGACACTGACCTCGAGACTATTAATATTTGTGTACATTTGATATACCTATTTATTATTATTATTATTATTATTATTACTATCATTATTAATAACATAATATTATCTCAGGTGCATATAATTTGTAAATATTTGTCCGGTTTTTAATTATATATTATGTCTACGAACTGCTGTCAGATCAGACGACTATTAAAATGCATATAGGTATACATTATATACGGGTCCATTTACCAAATCGCCATCAATCATCGTACGATATTAGCTACAGTCGTCTCGAAAAACACCGTCGCCGTGACACAAGCATAATATAAACTAATACCAAACCATCTTTTTGTATTCCACTGCAAACGAACGGCGAGGTTTTGTGTCGTGTGAAATAATATTATTATTATACATTTATGTGGGCGCACAGTCGACAAATCGCTAAAGTACACTTTTACGCGCAGAGTTTTTAGTATTCTTAATAACGCTAAATATCAATACTCTCCCCCTACGCGACCACATTGAGCCCCCACACCGCCACCATCCCTCTTGCCCATCGAATCCACCAC